ATTCAATAAAAATTTAAATACAATGAACAGCGACATCGGTAGCCGGGCCTGGTAGCTGTAAAGGTCAACTGGGTGACGAATATCATAGATTTCTCATAGACGGCGCTACGATAAAAAATCGTTGAAAAACCAATTACGACGCAAGTACATAGAAAAATTCGTATTTCGAACGTTTTATCTCGAATGTTCTGAATAGCACGGAATGCGCCCTTTGATTCGAGAACGATTTCCAATCGAACGATTCGGTTAAAATATCGAAGATTTCTGAATCGGGGTCCAGGGGGTGGAATCAGAACCTTACGATAACTCAGTTGGCGACCGATTCGATTTGATATCGTACGATTTCTTTTCATTTTTATTCACAACACCCGAATGGAACGTCAAACTGTCGCATTCGAAACCGAACCGAAATGACGTCACTCCCGTTCGATTACTCGAGCTTCTCGGCCGGAAAAGGCTACAAACGTTATTCAGAACACAGTTATCGAATGAAAGTTACCGAAAGTCCTATTGTTTACAAAGCAACAATGTAATATGGAAATCTCTTATTATTTTAAATACAGTCTGGATTTTGTTTAATTTTATTAATTCATTTTAATGCAAGCCTAATGCATACCTATATTTCAGGCCATTAATGTCTTAAAAATGTATATAAAGGAATTTTTATTTTTCTTATAATCTATTTCACCGACTAACTTCGTAAACGCTGTTGGATAACGATATCGGTATCCGAATCCGAATCGAATGTTTGATTAAATAGCTCGGAAAGCGCCCTTCGATGCGAGAACGATATCCAATCGAACGATTCGGTTACAATATCGAAGAGTTCTGAATCGGGGTGTAGGACAAAGACATTAGTCGAGTGACTTTGACATATGTGTTTGCAGCTTTATGTATCAGTTTCATAATTTATTTCATATTCATTTTTCTGCGTTTGACCCTTACTATTCGATGTTTTTCTTAGTGTTCGATCTTTGTATTAATGAATATAACAAACTATATACTAAATATATCATGGTGAAACATCGTGACATTTAATAAAAACTCAAAAATTTTGCGAATATAATATTCAGCGACAGAGCCTATGATAATTCGTTATAATTATTAATACAAAGATCGTAGAAAAAAATCCTTCGATCCGGCCAGATTCGAACCGACGTCTTCTAGCATTCGTGAGGTCCGCTGTTTCGTTCCGTGGCTTAGTGTGCATAACGTCTGGCACGGTTTGCTAGAATATGAATATATATATAATTTGAATCCGGCCGAAACGAAGGAAGTTTTCTAAGTGTTCGCATTAATAATTCTTACAAACTAGTGGAGTAATTTCACAAAAAAATATTTCAATATCAATTCAATACAAATTTAAATACAGGTTATAGCGACTTTCACAAACTTTATTTATTTATTTATTTATTTTGGTACAAACAGTCATTACAGTATGATTTAATACAGAAATTTGAACTATACTATAGACAACCAATACTTCGGTATTATTCATTCGGTAATATTCGTGTTACACTTAAATATTAATAACATGTACTAAAAGGGCTTAAGTACATAAGAAGAATACAAAATAAACGCGTTTTTGAACCAAAAGCGAATGGTTAACCATTTGGGTGCTTAGACAAATTACTACTTAGAACTAAAGAAAATTAAAACAAAACTAATTAACCGGGATGTAAACCGGCTTCAGGCTTCACAGACAGACTGTCCTGACCAGGCCGCTGAACCGAATCATTACTACTAAATAATTTGTTGTGGATGCTTACCTTAAATCTGTTCAATGAGATACCAAATATATTCGTGTCACAAAATGTATTATTATATAATGATAACGAACGATGAAAATAACTGTTTCTCGTACAATTCTTACGGAGTCGTGGTGGTACGAAAATTTTTATTTTACGTTGGGGGCGTGCTGATAAACGAGCTTTATTTATAAAATTAACTTGCAATAACAGAGTCGGTGAATCAACCATATTGTTAACTATTTTGTAGAGAAAAACTATGTCAGATTTCTTACGGCGATTTTGTAAGGTAAGTAATTTATTACGCCTAAGAGAGTATTCGTATGGTTCAATTGGACAATTAGTACGAAAATTAAGAATTCTGACGAATTTCCGCTGGGCTCTTTCTATTCGATCGATATTATATTTGTAGAATGGATTCCAAACCACGCTTCCAAAATCGAGAATGGATCTAACAAATGAATAATATAAAATTTTAAATGTTATGACTTTAACGAATTTCACAAAAAAAAAATAATTCAATACAAATTTAATTAGAATTATTAAAAGTGATATATCTAGTCAGCGGCTAGTAGCTGTAAAAGTACCTCGCTGAGTGAAGAAAATTTTTTATAGATTTCTCACAAATGGCGTTACGGCAAAAAAGTCGTTAAAAACCGAAACAAAGATCTGCAACAAACATATGGAAATTTCGTGTGGTCCATCGGTTTGTTTCGAGGCTTAGTTGGCATAGCTTCTGGCACGGTATACTGGGAAACATTGGGTCGAATCCAACCAGATTGAAGTGAATTTTTTCTGAGTGTTCGATCTTTGTATTAATAATTATGACAAACTAGTGGAGCAATTTCACAAAAATAATTTGTTTTCATGGTGCAACATCGTGACATTCAATAAAAACTCAAAACTTACAATTAAGTTTCATTGAATGTTGGTATGTATCACCACCTTGATATTCAATTATTTGACTCAACTAAATATTGATAATAATGGCTAATGTTTTTTATCCAGGTACCACGTGGACTTCGGAAATGATATGGCTTATTGAAAATAATCTCGATTATGAGGCGGCAGCCGCCGTACCCCTTGTAAAACGATTTCCATACATGGAGTGAGTACTACGCGTAATTATGTTTCAAACAAGAGGAGTTACATCTTTTTCACCTCACTAGCTCAGAAAGGCTTTCTTTCTCATTAGAAGTCTGCGTGCAAAAGCGGTTTGTCCACGCAAAAATCGCTTTTGCTTGGTTTTTCGAGTTCGAACTTGACGATGGACTGTGTTGCACCTAACTTTTTATTTCGATGAAAACAAAAAACGTAATGACTCGTTCAAATACGCGATTTGTCGTGCACACATTATACTTATATGTAATACTTATAAATCCGTTGGTATATTATTCTTGGTACCGTTATACCGTTGGTATATTATTTTTATTATTGTTGACATAAAATTGACAACGATAGCTAATTTTGTTTATTAACACTGATTTGTTATAGTTCATCTATTTTTTTTTCATCTACCATTTCACAGTGAGGTGAAAAATTTTGTGTTTCGCGGCAGCAAAATTGTTTTAAGTCTCGTGGCTTGAAACCCTCGCTACGCTCAGAACGTCGCGTCAAACAACAACTTTGCAGCCTTGCATAATAAATAACTATTTTCATCCAAGTAAATATAGGATTACCCAAGACTTTAACAAAATGTAAATATGTATGTTTGGAGCAGTCAACGTGCAGGGGAGTCACAATACTTGTTGACGCGATATCGACTTACACCTGTCAGAAAAAGCTTGATGTCCATGCAATATTATAGAAAAAAGATGTCATGCGTTTCGCTTTCGCTCGGACCGCTGACGAGTAAAGGATGATTCACATTAGACAGTGCCGGGCGCAAGCCGTGTCCGAGGCATCCTAGCCACGTACGTGCCGCACGATCTTAAATTAGATTGAGTAAGTCAGTACGACGCGGTTTACGCTCGAATACGAACGTAGTGTTATGTCATAATTATTATAAAGTACTGGGTAATTTATTTCGCACTCAATTAATTTTTCATCGTCCATTTTTTTTTAAAAGAACGTAGTCCCTCTCTTTAAAGTCGCACATTCGGACGAGGTGCGTACGACGCACTGGAGAGTGTTCACATTACAACCAGCCGTGGCGGGCCGGGCCGCATCCGGGACTCGGAAGCAGCTTGGGCGTCCCTCGTCCGTGTCACGGACGCGACACGTTGTAATGTGAATCACTTCATATAAAATGTTCGCAGCATTTCCAATCCTAGTCTCGTACGTGACTCGGATCGCGCCCGGCACGGTCTAATGTGAATAATATTTAAAGCGTGAAACACACAGAGAGCGGGTGCGACTAAGGTCGGGACTGCAGCAGGTCTATTTCGGTGTGTTTTTGTCCATAATAAAAATATAATAAAAATACGTGGAATTAAATCCGCCGCGGTCCCGACCCGACCGGCACCCGCTCTCTGTGTGTTCACGCTTAAGAGTAATGCATCATGTTTCTTTACTCATATTACAATCTTTTCCTGACCGGCTTAATGCGATTCCATGTCGATATATCTAGTGACCGCTTAATATGAAAAACCATTGCAGTTTTCAAACTTTATTTAACGAAGTACAAACAAAACGTATATATGAACATAACAAAAACGATGAGGATAAGACAGCGCTGGCCAAATTTCTTTTGGGTGGCTCAAAGGTTATAGAAAATCTACCTTCTCCGCGTTTTATCAAGACACATCTTCCAATGTCATTGTTGCCACCGTCAATGCTCGATACTGCTAAAGTCGTGTACGTAGCACGGAATCCTCAAGATGTCGCAGTGTCATATTACAACTTGAGCAAGCTGTTCATAACTTTTGGCTACAATGGCGATTTTAAGACCTTTTGGGAATTTTTCAAGAATGATCGTGAGTATTATTTTGACCACTTTGGACCAATTCAGAATACAAAATTCCTACTCAGGTGTTGCGGATAACCCCAAACTTTCACTGGTACTCATAGTAAAGGAAGTTTCCTAGTTTGAGTGCAAGTAAAGGTTAAGATTGCCTTGCACATTAAATTAGTATTTCTAAGCAACATTAATATATCACTTACACCGACGAACATTTTAGTCAGCCGTGCCCTTGGTACTTGTAAAGGGCTCGAAACGTCGGTTTGTTTGAAAAAAAACAAATGCACAAAATGCAAAAAATATACGCGAGTTAGGTCCAAAAAATAGTTTCATGACATATGTGTAATAATAGCGAAAACTCAGATCACAAAACAATTTGTAATCTGAGAGCGAAAACCTAAGTACCCGGAATTCTTATTCATTATCAACAATTTTGAATTGAGGATTATCAAACACTTATCTCAATTTTGTGAGGCGAAGGGCAGTGCCTACTGGTACGGTCACTATAGTATTATTAATATGTCAATAATACGGAGCTTTCAGGGCCCTATTCCCCATACATAGAGCACGTAAAGGAAGCTTGGGAAATGAGAAATCATCCAAATATGCTGTTTTTGTTCTACGAGGACCTCGTTAAGGTACAGAATCTAAATACTATTTCTCTTAATTCACTGCAAGGCAAAGGCTCTCCCTAAGCGTTTTTATGTATCTCGGTCTCATGCTAAATAAAACTAAGTAGTGTAGTACCTTCCTCAGCGTTTTCCTTCAACCGTTAGTGCAAATAATAATTAGTACCTTATTAAAAACTAATTACCTAAGCTATTATAGCATGAATATCAAGTCGAGGTTAGTATTACCATAATGCTTAAGGTCGGATTTTCAATTACAGATAGCAAACTGACAGTTAGTAATGTCACTTAGAAAATGAATGTTGCCATGTTTATTGTATAGTGATGTGTTAATGAACTCACTGAAAAAAAATCACACAAAAAGAAATATTAAAAACTTTTTTGCTAATAATCTGCTAAATAATATTTCATTTACATTTAGTGTTTACCTACTTCTCTCATTTTTCTGTTATCAAATTCTTTCTGTTTTAATTGACACAAATTATTATGACGATTGCTTTGTTTATTACTTTGGTGGCTTACTGAGAGAGTCAAGTGAAGTATAATACGCTCTAAGACAATAATATTTTAATTTTATTAAAAACTAACAACCCACTCACCGTAAATTTATTATTTTCAATAAAAAATCGGTCCTTTTTTATTCAAATGTAAGTGCGCATTTGACCTCCTTCTCACCTGATGGAACATGACGATGAGGTCGACGATCGAGCATGCACATCTAAATAATGCCTATTCACTCTCGCCTTGAAAAGGTCCAGGGAATTTCACTCCATAGCCGTTCGCCATATAAATGTGCGAATATTTGAAATGTCTACAACATAGGGGTGGAATCCAAGCCTGCGCCTAGTCCCCTCGATGATAGAAAGGAGAAGGCGGAATTAAATCGTGTAATTCCATCGCACGTTCTCTGTGATATATCCTGTAAAATACCGATAAGCAGGCAAATTTACGGCAGTGTTCAAGGCTCTGCAACTTCGCCTCTATTAATTTCGAGTCACCTATAAGCTTCTTCGCACGTTTGTCAATTGAATCCAAGGTGGCCAGTTGATATGAATCAGAGCCATCCCAAAGGTGGCAGCAGTACTCCATATACGACTGGACTTGTGCTTCATACAGCTGAAGTAACTGTTCCGGTGTGAAGTAACGCCTCACCCTGGAAAGGATGCCAAGCTTCTTGTAATTGAAGTAGCCCATCTCCTCAGCCTAATGTTGTTAAATGCATACGTGACTTGTGTAACCGTCGTGTCGTTTTATCATCAGGACTTGCCGGGAGCAATAAATCGTATGGCGACATTCCTGGACAAGAAATTGACTAAAGATCAAGTAGAGAAACTCTGTAAGCACCTTAGCATCGAAAGTTTTAAGGCGAACTCTTCTGTGGATGGCACCGCATACAAATCCCTCGGCTTTTTAGCGACAACAGCACAGCCCTTTATTAGAAAAGGTAAATTAACAGAAAGACTGAAAAACATGTTTAAATATGTTTTTCGTTGTATCTTATAAAACCGAATTATAACAAAATTATCTGTAACCACCATAAAGAAACAAGTAATAAATAAAACCGATTTCTAAAATAAATGTACAAGATAGGAAGGAAGCATGTATCAATTCATTAGTGTTAATAATCTCAGTACAGAGTACTAAAAAAAAACGACCTCAAAAGTACGTGGAATTACGTCTATTTGCTAAGTTTTATTGAAATATAAGGTCCCCTAGTTCGCCACTATACGGGACTTGGCACAGGAGATAATAAAAATCGGTTCTCGCTACTCAAAGTATATTGAGAGAGAAAAACGCCTTGAATTGGAGAATAGCAAAACCAACCATTAAAATAAATGCTCCTTAAGTAAAATTTAGGCGCTATTTATAAAAATGAATGTTCATGAGGGATCAGCCAGCCTTAGAGGTGGATGATTTTCTTCAAAATGTAATGGGACCACTATGGAGGTACCTTCTTTCCAACAAAAAAAGAATCATGAAAATCGGTTCACAAATACCGGAGTTATCGCGTAACATACATACAAAAAAAACATACAGTCGAGTTGGGAACCTCCTCCTTTTTTGAAGTCGGTTAAAAATACTGGCGGTTGCGAATGATTTCTATATTTATATTTAATTTATTTATATATAATTACTAATCCTGTCATTTGAATGACAAATTAGTAACCTACTAATTTTCGTACTAGAATGATGTAAAAAATTCATTACGAATTCATAGATTCCATAGAGCACAACGATACTCGTGATCACCTGGCCTTCTGTGACGTGCTATTATGGTAAATACTAGAGATGAAATGGATAGTGATTTGGCCGGATACCGGATATCCGGCGAGCACCCAGGCCTCATAGCCAGATATCCGACCGCCGAATATTTGACCCACGCGACCGGTTTATAGTGCGCATCACGTGATTGATTGTTTAGTGCATGGCTGCATTTTCACATTGACGATTTGATTGGTTGTGGTCTCTTGGTTTTTATAAAACTTAGAAAAAATTAGAAAAATGTTAACAGTAAAAAAAATCGCAGAGTTGGATCTATTTATGAAAATAAATATCACCAACTTTTACCACTTAATGCAGAAAAACTGGTCTTCATCCATCATAATTTGCCTTTATTGAAATTTGAGTATGGTAAATTTACAGATAACGTTATCCCATAACTTCATAGTTCTTTCAGTTACAAGTAATAAAGAGATTGTTAACGATACTGTAGTTGCTGTATATTCTATTAATATTCTATTAATATTAGTAACAACAGCGACAAAAACGAGTAGAAGCGATACGAATCAGCTGAGTGACGAATGTTTGCGCAATCGCATGAGGCGTTCAATCGCAAAAGTATTCATAATATTTTTAACCAGGTTTTCAGGAGTAACATGGACACAGGAATTGGTGGGCCTGGTAGCAAATGATTTGGATTACGCCAAGGCAGCGGAAATTCCCTTAATACAGAGATTTCCTTTTCTAGAGTGGTGGAGTTCCGAGTAGTTCCGGCATAATAATCACTCGACTCGTGCCCTCGACCGAATGGCAGGGGCATACGACTCGAGTCTCATGGTTGTGCTTGGATTCGACTTAGGCGAATTATTTATTTATTTATTAGTGACCTGCCCATTCGAATGATTAGTATTAGTATTTGATTAGTACATTCAAAATCGCGCATCGCTACAGTCAAATGGTAGGATAATAAATTGATATCTTTATGGATCGAAGGATCGAAATAATATCTCTCTAATAAGTAGGCATATACGTTTGTTATTCAATTATCGCTATCCAGAATTCCAAAACGCAGTAGATACTTTTCATTCGCACTTTACAGGCAGAAGGTGTAAGGTATATACATATATATTTTTTCATTTTGACGGGTATTTGTCTCCGAAAAAAAAAACAATTTATACTACTATGAGAACTCTTCTTGAATCGCGAAAATAATCGGAAGTGCCTCACAAAATTTTCGTATTTACTCGACTTTGTAGTAATCCCTGCAATAATAGATTACTGTCAAAATTTCATTTTCTTTTTTTTTATAATATAATTTGACTTTAAATCGCAAAGATCTGAGGGGCACTGCCACTGCGCCCGTCACCCTGAGACAAGTTGACAAGTCCTATGTGCCTGTAATTTCGTCAGCACCCTTACCCTTCAAAACCGATACATAGTAATGCTGACATTATTGCTTGGCGGCAGAAATAGGTAAGATGGCAGTACCTACTGTAACCTGAGGCATAGCTTAGGATGCGTAGCGAGAGGTACTTTATAAATATAAACTGGGATTAACTTCATAACTTGATATTTATTATATTTTATTACATATTTATATTTTGAGGCTACTTTTAGATCCAAAGAGAATTTAATAAAAAAAGATGTTCAAGATGTTCTTTTCTTCTAATCTATTTTTTCAAACACATTCTAAATACAAAACTATATTCACTCAGCCAGTAGTTCTACTCATAGAGTAAAGCCTAGATTACAGTACTATACATATACAGTATTTTTGTAGGCAAATCCCAAGGGTGGTACGACCATTTCGACGAAGAGATGGCAGCGGATGCGGAGCGCTGGATCGCCGAAAACTTGCAAGATACAGATCTGCGATTCCCTAATATGACCAAATAGTACAATAAGTCTATATAATATAAAATATAATTGGATCGATGGAATTTTTTATGAGTGTTCGATCTTTGTAATAATTATAACTAGAGTAATTTCAGAAAAAAATTTTGAATATCATTTCAATAAAAATTTAAATTCGAACTGCATTCAATGATTTTTAAATAATCGCCTATCTGAACCGGGAATCGAACCCGCTAAATGTGAAAAGCAAACCTGTAATTAATTATACTTATCGAAAGCCTTCATCATAAGGATCGCTTTCTTTTAAATAATAGTATTTGAAAGGACGCTCTGTGGCCCCCTGTATAATATACTTTAATATTTTTATAAGGAAGGTCTTATAAACCACTCGGTTGACACGGTTCATGAAGAATGCAAAGAATTGAATTGGAGGAATTGAAGCAAGCTTAGCACGGCACTGAACCTATTGGTAAATGGTCTAAGAAGACGAAGATGATTGTCTTTATAACTAAGCATCTTTTTTTATGATACCAAGTGGCGGAATGAAGACGTCATGGGCCTGGTGGCGACACGCCTGTTCATAGCAATTGTAGTGCTACTTAGAGCTTTAAATGGCTTAGTTTTGCCACTGCGCCCGTCACCCTGAGGCATAAGTTCACAAGTCGCGTGTGTCTGTAATTTCACTAACACCCTTACCCTTCAAAACCGGAACTCACATTACTGCTCGGAGGCAGAAATACGTAAGCAGCACTTCACTATAGTACTCTCTTTCACAAGGAGCTCTACTACTACTGAGCTCTGATCTTATCTTATTACGACGGGAATTGCAGATCGGTGCCCCCCAGGTTATTGTCAGCCTGTTGACCTGCACCTTCATCTCCTCAAAACAATCGCTTCACCCATTATCTTTATCTGAAATTGCAACGCAAATTAGAACTTTTACTTAACCTTCCTTGTCCTGCTACTCGACCAATTATCCGTACTACAATTATCGCTACGACTGTGGAAGTTATCAAACTCGCATTAAGGTGATCAGAAAATGCTTAGTCATTGTTAGTAGCAACAGCGACAAAAACGAGTAGAAGCGAAACGAATCAGCTGAGTGACGAATGGTTGCGCAATCGCATGAGGCGTTAAATCGCAAAAACATTCATAATATTTTTAACCAGGTTTTCAGGAACAACATGGACACAGGAATTGGTGTGGCTGGTAGCAAATGATTTGGATTACGCAAAGGCAGCGGAAATTCCCTTAATACAGAGATTTCCTTTTCAAGAGTAAGTTATAATTCAAGGTACCTACCTACTAGTGGGAAAAACCCTCACCATCAATCTCATTATTCAAAATCTGTGTCCAAATTTTGTTGTTTGGTACTTTGACGCTTGAAACTCAAGAGACCCCGAAAACATCATCCTCACTGCCCTGAACCAATTTATTGCTCTCAAATTAAATATCAACCAATGCAAACTATACATAATATATTCTGTTTCAATCCATTCCTTAATCTACGCGACAAAGAAACGGTCATAAAAATTTTAATGTTTTAGCCCCGATAACTAAGGGTCATATTCTAGAACTCTACTCAATGCTCAAGTCAGGATTTCAGTATGGTTTAAAGCACTCGAAATCATACTCAAGTCCCTGCTGTTAGGGTCGTATTTCCAGTGCTTGTGTTTCCAGTGCAATCCTGACTTGAGCATTGAGTAGAGTTCTAGAATATGACCCTAACTAACCAACGAAACCAAGCCTAACCTCTTACACGCTTCCATATTCGAAGAATCTGTTCTGATAATTCCGTTTCCGTTCCTGTATCCGATATGGTATCACTATCACAGACCCATATTTTCATTGTGATCTTGATTGTTCGCCTAGACTCGCAATACTGTTGGATCACAAAACGACATGTAGAAGAAAACAAGTTTAACAAGCAATTGGTTAAACAGATCAAAGAAACATTAAAACCACAATATGCAGAGTTAACGAAATTGACTTCTCCACGCTTTTTCAAGTGGCATTTACCCCTTTTGCTGCTGCCTCCCTCCCTCTTGAATACCTGCAAAGTAGTAGTGTGGCAAAAGACCTGAGAGATGTCGCCGTCTCGATCTACCACCACAACCAACTTTTTAAAAATTACGGTTACGTCGGGGATTTTAAAACTTAATGGAATTTCTTCATAAAGGGACTAAGTAAGTACGTAGTGTTAGTCTGTTTTTATTAATTGTCATGTCCGTATATTGCAGTACTGATTTACCAAATGTCTATATTAGGCATTTGCTTTTTACCCGATTCCAGGTTCAGTCAAAGCTGTTTCTTACATCAAGTAGGTTAATCCAGCAAATTGAAGTCGTAAAAAACAACATTAACATTATATGTATTAAAGTTAATTATATTGTTTTGTACAGTATATACACCGTTTTTTGATATGAATAAAGAAGCTTGAGAGAAGAGAAATCATTCAAATATGTTGTTCCTTTTCTACGAAGAACTTTTAAAGGTAGGTACAACAGTCGTTTACAATATTAGTAATATATATTTTAACAAGCAGCGTTTTCAGAAATTTATATTTTTTTTTGTATGTCATCAATTATTTTATAAACAGTGTTCTAACTGTTCTGTACACGATCCATTTCGGTATACATTATTTTCTCTTCTCCTATTCGTTGGAGAAAAGGGAAAATAGTACCACTTTATAATATTTTCAATTAGGACGATCACATTGGACCGTGTATCATCTGTCGTATCTGCCATTCTCACAATTCAGTGTTCTCAGCCGAATTACCGTATCCATTTTTTGTCGTATAAGTTGAGTAGGTCCCATCAGGGTTTTTTCACAGTTCTGGTTGAATAGAATTGGAAACTGGTATGGGAACTGGTTTGGAAAGGATAGTAAGTGTGGAAAATTGTAACTGATGAGATATCCACCGCTAGAAAAATACAAAATGTATGTTTGAAAGATAAAAATGAGTATGATGTACCTATTGCTGACATAAATATGTATATAAATACGAGTACGAGAGTTACCACACGCACCTATTATACGAACTTTCACTATGCCGGTCAGAAAAATCGTTACATCCATCCAATGGTCTTAAATAGCTCTGAGTACTGGGAGTACCCCTGTCAATGGAAGGTTACACGAGTGCGTCCTATCCCCAAGTCGAATTTTATATATTATTACCGTGCGGTGACGGATTAGAATACAATTCACCGCCCCTCTCTTCCCGTGGGTGTCGTAAGAGGCGACTAAGGGATATTGAGCAACCAGCTGCTCCACTGGTGGTAGGGCTTGAAAACCCGCCTGGTTAGTGACCACCGTGCGCATGATGGAAAACCCGCCAAGTGTTCGCTAGTCGGATACGTTCCGGGATCAGTCAGCGTACAACCAGAGCCCGAGGCAGCGCTGCCGCGACATTTGTGGTCTGTGGAGGCTTCCGCCGAACCAGTGCCAGGACAACTGCATTGACCCGCCGGCCAGGGAGACCCGTAGAAACGGTTGTTCCGCTGGCCGCCCGCGGTACAGTACAGGGGCCCAAGCGTGCTTAACCAGCTCGTGAGGCTGCCTCACCATGCCGCGCATAATCTCGGTGTGGTTCGTCGTGCCGGTTGGTGACCGGGAGGTGGGGTCCCGGCGGCCATTCCCGGGGGGGTTCGGGGGCCCTTCCGTCCGGCGGATCAGCGCAACTTGTCTGTAGGCAAGTCTCTGGGGAAGCAGGCCCCGCGATTTGACCGCTTGTGTCGCGGCACTGTTTTCTCGCTTCACGCCTCTTTTTCCCTCCAACATGTTAGCGCAAAGTACAAATTTCGGTCGTACAGCGGTGCACACCCCCACCACTAAAGCGCTCTTTAAGGTGGAGTTCACGAACATTCGAGGACTCCACAGTAACATCCACGCCGTCCACCAACATCTTGAGACGGCTCGACCAGAAATGCTGTTCCTTACGGAGACGCAAATACTCTGCCCGGCTGACAGCAGCTACTTGAATTACCCTGGCTATATGCTTGAAGAGTCCTTCAAAGCGAAAGCTGGGGTCTGCTTGTTTGTCCGGGCAGATGTTTGCTGTCGCCGTCTGCGTCATTTGGAGGACCCCTCCTTCTCCATCCTTGGGGTACATGTTGACCTGGGCAGTCATTGCCGTGTCTACATGTGCCTCTACAGATCCCACCACGGCGACATGGAGACAACTCGTCTCATAGACCACCTTACTCGGGCGGCAGATGACGCGCAGGCGCAGTTTCCTACAGCGGAATTGGTGTTTTTAGGGGACTTCAATGCTCACCACGAGTCGTGGTTAAGTTCCTCTAAAACTGACCATACTGGAAGAACTGCCCACACATTCGCTCTCACACACGGTTTAACCCAACTGGTAAACCAGCCCACCCGGATTCCAGATAGGGTTGGTGACGCGCCCTCTTTGTTGGACCTTCTGCTGACGTCTCGCCCGGCTGGATATCGGGTGGAGGTCCAAGCCCCTCTGGGCACTTCGGATCACTGCTTGATATCCACTAAAGTGGCAACGTTACTGCCACCACCACCTACTGTGGCTAAACGCCGCAGTTGGCATTATGCGACGGCAGATTGGGACGGTATGCGGGACTATTTTGCATCCGTTCCCTGGCGGCAGCGCTCTGTTTTAGTGAGGTGAATCCAACAGCTAGCGCGACTGCCGTTGCTGATGAGATCTTAATCGGGATGGAATACTACATCCCGCATTCGGATCTCGTCAGTAAAGGGAGGCGCAACCGCTGGTTCAACCGCGAGTGTGCTGTGGCTGTTGAGAACAAACAGACTGCATACCGCGCTTGGATCAGGGGTCTAGCTTCAGACGATCCCAATACGAACTCACTTAAAACAGCCTACAATAATGCCACCAGGTCTTGCAAAAGAGCGTACATCAGAGCGGATGCTCAGCGCGTCGCACGAGTTGGCCAAGAACTCCTGACGCATCCCACTGGTAGTCGTAGCTACTGGCGTCTGGCCAGAGCCGTTGCGTCGAACTTCTGCCAGCCCTCGCTGCCACCGCTGAGATATTCTGACGGCAATCTAGCCCACAAGCCGCAAGATAAAGCCGACCTCTTGGCAAATCTGTTTGCGGCTAACTCCTGTCTCGAC